ATATCCAAACTTTTAATAAAAAAAAACCTATGTTATGACACCTAGATAATCTTCCTATTGAATTGTATAGTTTGGACTTATTAACAACTAAAATTAGCACTGGAAACTTTAACTATATAAGATAAATGTAGACTCGGGACGAAAATGTAAAATTGGCATTTATATGTAACTCAATTATTTTAAACAAAATACTTCAAAAATAAGTTAAAGATATTTACCCATAGTTCACAAAACTTTACACATTACTTTGTTTCGGGACTTAGGGTACCGAAAACGAGAGTTCTCGCCTTCGGCGAGAGTTCTTGGACCTCAGTCCTCACTCGAGTTTTCTCTTTCTGTTTAGTCTCTCTATATAAACCCAAAATTTACGTGATAGTTGTATTTGTTAGAATGCCAACGTTCTATCTTGAATTCTCTAGTTCAATGTAAGCCATTGACTAGATTAATAACCTAATTATTGACGTTATTGCAATACGTGTTTTTAATGTTTAATTTAAAATATTAAAAATACTTTTTTAGAATTTTTGGTAAATTATTTATATTTTCAAATAATAATGTCAATTATTACAATATTCTCATACATGCTTTATATCAACACACTTTCCGTATCGCTATCTGATTTGCCAACATGTTAAGGTGCGTATAGATATAAGGCGTCGGGCCCGGGCTAACAGCGAGCCCAAGTTCGTCAGATTTTTACCGTGTTGTCAATCTACTTTACGGTGGAAAGCAACGGACCTACTTCGATTCTATTTGATAGACACATGGCACCTTACAAATCTGACGAACTTGGCCCGTTTTTGGGACAACTATGAAGACTAGAGATAAGGAGGCGAATCGGCATACTCGAAATACGGTCCCAAAAATCGCATGCTAATTGAGCTTTTATAATTCACCGCATGGGCGCTGGTACTGCTAACGCTGTTCAAAATAGATGGCTTCTTATGGAAATTATACATAAGTTTGTCAAAATAATAAAAATAAACTTCTTTATAGCTAAATAAAGCACAGAACGTACTGTTGTATTTATTTCTAAATAAGTCTTGCATGTTTTAATTGATAAAATATTTAATTTTATCTATATAAAATACAAATTAGGTAGGTATGACCAAATTCGAAAAGGTTTGTTGAATGGTGAAATTTGGTAAGTACAATTTTGTGCCTAAATTGTTTTGAATTATACCTAAATATAGTTTTAAGAGCAAAATAAAACATTTGTTGTAATACAAGTATAAAGGGAGATTTGGGAATGTACATGGTATTACCTCATCCTTTAATTTCAGCTTTCCCCTTTTTATTTTGCTAACAGTAGTACCATTAGTAAAAATAGTCTCACAATATTTGATAATATCTTCTAAACAGTGTAGAACACCATCATCTTCAGAAAGTGCTTTATCGGCCCTAGGAATGATATATATGCTGCCACTGTTCTAAGCGTTTAGGATCCTATAAAAAACATTTACAATGACAAAATTGGAGTTTAACAAAAAAATAACAACTTTTTATCTAACAGTAAAACTCTATAAAACACAAATTTTCTTTTCTAGTAAGTTAAATTTAATGTATAATAATTTTTGTTTGTAAGTCAGGATATATGACTAAAATTTTATATTATAGAAACTTGGTAATAAAATAAACTACACTCCGTAAGATACATATTGTGACTAGTTTACAATAAATATTATAAGACGACATAAATACCTACATTATTTTACGTACATTAGAAGCTTTAAAAAGACATTGAATTGATTTCTCCTTGTTTTCTTTAGTTTTACATTTGATTTGTATGCTGTTTTACAATCTGGAAGGACGTAAATATTGCTTTTATGTTTTTTGACACTCCTGTTACTTGTTCTCAGATACTTTTTTTCACATTATTTTGATTCTTTTCACCAACTTTTTAAAAAAATCACTTAATTTACTTACATAGAAAATTGACACCGCTGTTATTTGACATGCCAACTACAGTCAAGTTCGCGAACTTTATAAAAAGAAGGACGGAAATTTGACCATTCATTGCCGATTCGCCTAATTCTCTCTAGTTATCATAGCATAAACATAAATCATATCTCTCATTTCTGAGTTAGGGAAATGGTTGTGTCGTGGCATTTTCACAACGTACTTAGATGGAATTTGGTGAACAAAATTAACACTGCAGTCATTACATTAAGTGGTCGATTCTGAGACAATCTATAAGATCTGTAAGCCAAAATCTGTAAAAAATTACATTACATTACTATACCTTACAGATTCTGTAGCTTATAGAATATTTCCCAGAATTCTACCATAAATCTAACAGATTCTAACAATTAATTATTTGGACAAATGTCGTTTTCATTTTTTTTTTCAAGTCTACCATGTTGAAATATGGTAAAGTAAATTAAATAGATACGGTAGCCAGAATATTTTAAAGTGTATATCTTTTTTGTTCAAATGGAAAGATTTAATAAAAAAATCAAAAAAATCCAGGTTTAAAAAAATGGATACTTTTCTTTACTAACTTAAAAATATAACCATACCAGAGTTATTTAGTAAAATATTAATATTTGGAGGTCCTGAACCTATAATTAAAATATTGACCATTCATTATGAAACACCCAGTATATTGGTAGGAGTTTAAGAGCACTAATACGTCAATTCTATATTGTAAGAGATATTTTATCTAGAAAAATGTTTATAATTCTTTATACTACTCTAGTCAAATCAATCCTAAGAAAGATATTGTATTACCTACTTCATGGGGAGGCACTTTTAATACCACCCTCCAAGGGTTACAGACAATTCAAAAGATTCTTCAAGATTGTATCCCACAGAAAACTTGAAAAATAAAACAAAAATTATGTACATATTGTTGTTTTTTACTCTCCGGGGTTTAATAGGATTACATAATTCTAATGAAAAATATCAATTTAAAAATACACGTTTAACATGATCCATTAATAATATGGAACTGTGTTTCACTCTTTAAAAAGGCAGTAAATCGATGATTCTCTTTTAATTTCGATCCACAATTTTTAATGTACTTGCTTCCACCACATCTAAAAATAATTTTAGCAAAAAACGATTTAAGAGAGAAACAAAGAAGAATATAACCCAAGTAGCACCGAACGGTTTTATTCAGTACTTCAAGGATGCTTTAAAACTGTAAAATAAAACTGCAATTAAAACCAATTAGTTTTAAAAGGAGCCTTATGGTTGTAATAAATACGCCTTCAGCATAAAAGGGCCCACTCTGAAAGAGGTCAATAAAACCAAAAATAAAAACCACCATAAAACTATATTACCTTGAACAACTGATTTTAAAGCTGCTGTGAAGACCCTTTTAAAACCACTTTAAATACATTTTAAACACACGCGGTTTTGAAGTGGACTTTTAAAGATAATTTATCTTATTGTTAACATATGAAAATAGTTTCTTAAAACCATATACATAATTCGTTTAGCAAATAAAAGCAATTTATATTTGAAGATGATAATATGGTGACGCTCTAACCATTAAATTAACTATAAAATAATAAAAAGTAAGGTAGTCATTTCGGAATGTCAGGGTAGAAATATATACTGCACACCCGACTTTATCGATTAATGTTAACGAAAAAGTCTTAAAAAAACTTAGGTGCCTTAAAATTTCTGAAGTTTTATAATCCAAAAAAAGCAAAATTGAAAAACATAAATTAGAAATAAAAATAATTTTATCTATTATTTTAGATTTTTCTGTATTAAAAGAAATCGAAATTATACGTTTAAGTGGTTAACTTGTCGTTTTTATGTAAGCCTAAATATTTTTATCTATCATGGCTTCCACCATCTCGAGAAAGTAAAATGGCCGGAAATTAAACAAAACCGTTTAGTTAATGGACAAGGAAACGTTAAGATCAAAGGATTTTATTTAATCGAGTTTTATACTGTTCCAAGAGCACATACCCTAGACAAAAGAAAGGTTCGCTTATGATTTAAACGGTTTAGTTTTAATGCGGTTGTGATAAATACCGCTCGGTTTTAATGTAAACCTAACTTTAAAATCTCCGTGTCATATCAGTCGTTTGTGTTTTGTGTATTTTTAGATTAATAATAATAATATATTGTTTTCAGTTTTTCTAATTATTGTAGGTACACCCATGTTTAACATGATACAAAATGCGGGGTTCATTTGGGACACGTAAAAATAGGGGATGAGTTTAATTTTATTGTTTCTAACAAGAAGTACAGTTAGTCTTTACGATAACCAAATTGATTTAGTTAAGAGCGTTCCGTTTTAATATAGCTATCTAATTGCATTTAAAAAAGCCGTTTTAAGGAAAAGTAATGAAATAGTTTTAATACGCAATATTTACTGACCAAATTTTCCTAAGATCAAGCATATTTATTATTAGGTTTTATTAGTTACATTAAGAATCTCTTTAAAACTACTTAAAAACTAAAACGTCACAATCTAGAACATAAAAACAACCTGCAAGTCCTTCATAAAACTAAGAAGTTTTAAAGTTAATTGAAACTAAACCATTTTAAAACTACAACAAGACATACAAACTTTTAAGATTAATTGCTCTTATTAGCGAATCTTATTAGATACTTTAGAACCAGTATTAAATGCTAAACGGCTTTTAAGTGCCCGCAGTATATCTACAAGGTAATTTTAAAACCAGTGTCTTCTTATTTACCATTTTAAAACTAAAATAAACCCAAAATGTTTTTATGGTGCTACTTGGAAATAAATTCCACAAATACTTTTTACATTTTATTGTGTCATAAGCTTACCAATTGATATCATCGACCAGGTATAATTTGTTTTATTTAAACATAACATATGCAGAGTCGCGCCTGAGCTGAGCCAACAACTACCTAAATCAGTTTATTCCAATGAGTTATTATTGATTGCTGCTAAAAGATAGCAATAATTATATTCAGTTTCTGTTCAAATACATTTACAGCTGTTATTCCTAAAACATATTTCTCTGTCATTATTCTACAGGAATCTTAAAGTTGTGTTTTCTTTTCAGCAAAGTATATTCGAACCAAGCAAATTCCGTAGTACAATAGAAGTGGAAGCTCCGACGACCAAGATTTACAGATTTCATGGAGCGATCGTTCATCCAAACGGCAGCCGAATTCCCGTTGGAACTGATAATTTGTTACTTAGAGAGTGCCTTTTAAAAAACACAGACTTTGTCGAGGGAATCGTTGTTTATGCAGGTAAGGAAATACCTTTGTGTATTAATGCGAGAGTTTAATAGCATTTAATTTTAGTTCTAAATGAATTTTAAAACTTTAAAAGCTAAAAAACTAAGATTTAATACATATTTTTGAGATAAATCAGGGCAGATGTTGACGCCAATGTCAATAATGCAATTTTACAAACAATATAAATAAAAAACGAATTATTAATTTTTTCAAGAAATTAAGAAAATAGTCTACTAATAACCAATCACAATCACGTTGAAACCAATTCTTAAACAGACCTGAGATCGTCACTAAAAAAATGTAGCGCGTTACTTTATCGTTACTTTTTATGCAAAGTAACGCGTTATTAATCGTTACCGTTACTTTTTTAAAAAAGTAACGAATTATTCGTTACTTTCCGAAAGTAACGCGTTACTGAAAAAGTAATGCGTGACTGCAAAAGTAACGCGTGACTGCAAAAGTAACGCGTTACTGCAAAAGTTACTTTTGGAAATAAATTAATAAGAAGTTGGTGTACATTTTTACTATAGAACAAGAAAGGGATAATGAAAGTTATATTGTTATTTGTAATTCATGTTTTATTTAACTAAATGTCTCAACACTTAAAAAATAAACAGTCTTACTCTAGCAGTTATAAGGTTGTAAGTTGCAACGGTAACCTACGGGATAAATCATACATTTAGTATTTACCTACTTACATCATGAAATTACCCAGTCAAAACCTCTGTCAAATTCTTAGATAAAAGAGACCGGAGATGTAACATTGCACACTGCGCATGTTGTCCGTTTCTCCCTCACGTAACCCACCAATTGAAATTCATTATTTCTACGACGCCACCCGAATTTCTCCGAAATAGTCATTTCTATTCTACACTCACCTCCCCTGAGTTTAATCACCATTGACATTAACCGCTGTTTTTTGAATTGTATGTTGGTGTTATTAACAATTTAAAGTGTTCTACCTATTCAGTTTTAGGTTCAAAATGCCACGATGTATCGTGAAAAATTGTGTATATAATAAAAGTGCCAATGTTATAAAAGATAAGACATATGTTCGTTTTCACCGGTAAATATTTATTATTAATATTTTGACATAACCGCCATGCTCCTTTATATTGAATTAGTCAGATCCGCATTAAGGTATTTCTCCAAATATTTCGTATCGAATATTTTAGAAAACATATTTTATAGTACTTACTTATAGTTATAAATAAACCAAAGGACAAAATGTTGAACATTTAATTGAGTTTTACCGAAGGTAGGTAGTGTTAAGTCTTTTTTGGTGCGTAAAATAAGAAGTAAAGTAGCATATTTACTAACGAAATCTTGTTTTAAAAATATAGATTTATAAGAATATTTAATAAAGGTAGTTTTTAGCCCTTTTGGTACATACATAAGAAGTAAACAAGCATAGTTGCTAAAGAAATTTTGGTTTTAAAATAGTAGTTTTATAAGAATATTAAATAAAATACAGGATGATATACAAAAAATTTAAAAGTTCATCCTATTTTCAGTCAAAACTGAAATTAATTTTGTGCCTATTAGTCTTAAAACCAAGTAAAACTTTCAACATGACATATAAGCTAAAAATAATAATATAGTTACGAGGGGTAGGTCGAAAATATTGTTAATAAAGTGTTACATATATATAAAATTTAAAAATCGGGATCAAAAAATAAAAATCACTAAATTTTGAAGATAAATACTCGGATAAAAGCAAGCGACTGACGCCTTTTATTAGATTTAAATTTTAAAATATTTTTGGTTTCAGAGTATGAATTCCTAAAATTGTATGTGACACATACTCTATATTTTTTAGTATTCCAAAAGAAAAAAGTTTAAGAGATAAATGGATACTTGCAATAAATGTTAATAAAGAAGATGTTTTTAGCACTTCCCGTGTATGCCACTTACGTTTTAGTGATGATTCATTTGATTATAAAAAATCTCCCTTTGCTCTACATTTAAAAAAAATTGCTATACCCAATCAGGTAATTTTTAATAAATATGTATTAATCATGGAATTATTTTTAATTAGGTGCTTATTCAAAATATTTCAATTGAATATTTATTAATTTGTAAGCTTATAGAACTGCCTCCAAAATCAAGACCTAGCTTGGGATATTATCACCAAAAAACCCCCCCTCGATCTCCTGAACGAAAGAAATATAAAGTAAGCTATATTGAATTATGTTATTTGGCAAATCTCGTTTATTTCTAAATAATCGTAAAGAGTGAAAGAATATATTGTTTACTTACAGGCTAGTACTTCAAACTCTCAAACTAGCTTGGAATATTATCACGAAAAAACACCCCCTCAATCTCCTGAACGAAAGAAACAGAAGGTAAGTAATAGTAAATTATGTTGTCATTTGGTAAATCTCGTGTATTTCTAAATAATCTTAAAAAGTAACAGAACATACTTTTTACTCTCTGCATCTCTCTCTGCATCTCTCTCTCTCTCTCTCTCTCCTCTCTCTCTCTCTCTCTCTCTCTCTCTCTCTCTCTCTCTCTCTCTCTCTCTCTCTCTCTCCTCTCTCTCTCTCTCTCTCTCTCTCTCTCTCCTCTCTCTCTCTCTCTCTCTCTCTCTCTCTCTCTCTCTTTCTATCTTTCTATCTTTCTATCTTTCTCTCTTTCTTCTCTCTCTCTCTTTCTCTTTCTCTTTCTCTCTCTCTCTCTCTCTCCTCTCTCTCTCTCTCTCTCTCTCTCTCTCTCTCTTTCTATCTTTCTATCTTTCTATCTTTCTCTCTTTCTTCTCTCTTTCTCTTTCTCTCTCTCTCTCTCTCTTCCCCCCCAAAAAACCAAATAATTTAGGCATAGTCGAAGCAACCGGTGGGGAGGGGGGAGGGCGTTACTTTACAGGTGGTATTTTTCTATTTTAAGATATATTTTCTGTTGGAGAAAAACATTTTTCGAATAAAATAAATGGAAGGTATTGGAGAAAAAAATCGAAAACAAAATGTTTATTTTTAATTTGTATTCAATTTACATTTTGATTAGATGGACCGTACTCCATATATTTGATAACCTTATTGAACATTCATGTGACACGCCAGATATTTATTTACAGGTTAGTACACCCCAAAAATTAAAATTACGAAAAAAGTTAACCCAAGCGAGAAACACAATTAAAACCCTTAGAGTGAGCCTCTACAGAGCGAAGAAGAGGGTAGCCAATTTAAAGGAGGTTATAAAGTCCCTGAAAGGAAAAATTTCTGAGGAAAATTTGGAAACATTAACTCAAATAGGACCTAATAAAGAGTTTCTGAAGAGACAAATGTTTAATATGGGCAAGTATGGAAGTGACCTAAAAGCATTTGCTCTTACTCTTCATTATTATTCAGTAAAAGCCTATTCTTTCGTGAGAACAACTTTTAATTCAGCTCTTCCTCATCCTAAAACCATTTCAAGATGGTATAAAAATGTAAATGGCGAGGCAGGATTTACCAGTGAAGTTTTTGAGTTATTAAAATTAAAAGCGCAAAAAAGTAGTTATAAGCTTATTTGTAGTTTGACTGTAGATGAAATGGCAATTCGTCAACAAATTCAGTGGGATGGAAAAAGATATCATGGATTTGTTGATTTTGGTATTGACTCTGACACTGACTGTAACTTTGTAGCCAAAGAAGCATATGTATTTATGTTAATTTGTATAAACCAATCCTGGAAACTTCCTCTGGGATATTTTCTAATAGACACTTTAACTGGTCATCAAAAAAAAAATTTATTGAACCAGTGTTTGAAGTTACTTCACGAGTCTGCGATACAGTTAGTGTCAGTTACCTTTGATGGAGCAACCAACAACATCACATTGTTAAGAGAATTACGATGTATTTTTGACAAAAATAATTTAAAATCAACTTTTCGTGACTCGGCATCAGGTCGGGATATTGCTGTATTTTTAGATCCTTGCCACATGGTTAAATTAATGAGAAACACTTTGGGTGATAAACAACTTTTAATTGATGACAATGGCAATGCAATAAAATGGGACTATTTTGTAAAATTAAATAATATACAAGAACAAGAAGGTCTGTATTTGAGTAACAAATTAAAAAAAACCCACATAATTTACAAAAATCAAAAAATGAAAGTTCGTTTAGCCACCCAACTGTTTAGTAATTCAGTAGCTCATGCCTTAGAATTTTTAAACGAAACCTTAAAAATTGAAGAATTTAAAGGTTGTGAGGGGACCGTCAAATTTGTAAGAATTTTGAATCATTTATTTGATATCCTCAACTCGAGAAATATGTTTCAGCGAGGATTTAAACAACCTATTAATAAAAAAAAATTTTAAAAACATTTCAGACTTTATTTCAGAAACAGCGGAATATTTAGAATCCTTAACTTTATCTGATGGTACATTTCTCTGTCAAAGTCAAAGGAAAACGGGTGTATTAGGATTTCTGTTCTGTATGAAAAGTTTGAAACATTTGTATGAACAACTAATAGAAACGGATATATTGTCCTGTTTTCCAACTTACAAATGTAGTCAGGATCATGTTGAATTATTTTTTGGATTTATTCGATCAATGGGAGGTAACAATAATAACCCTTGCTCACGCCAATTCAAAATTGCTTACAAAAAAATGATGGTTCACCTTGAATTGCGAGATTCGTTCTTGGGAAACTGTGTACCATTGGAAACAATTCCAATTATGACACCATGTGACATTATTAACAAGTCTTGTGGTAAGGAACGAATTGCTGAAGTAGAAGAAGACATTGATATAAAGGACATAGAAACCTTTCATACTAAATTTTTTGAGGAAGATCTGTCTATTTTTAAAAAGGAAGTTATTGTATACATGTCTGGATATGTCATATATAAAATAGGTAAAACTTTAAAATGCGAAAAATGCTTGAGCGGACTTATAGGAGAAAGAGCAGATTATTTAATATCTTTCATTCAACAAAAGGAAACCTATAGAATGACATATCCTTCAGAAGATGTGGTATTAATATGTACAACAGCAGAAAAATTATTTCAATATTACTTATATCAAAATTGT